TTCACTTAACGCTTGATCACTGTTTTATCACCGCTAAGTGAGAGCCCCCTTCTTCCGTGGCTTCTCCACGTAGACAGCATCTTGTATCTGCATCGTGCCCATTTTTAAGGCCTCTTACAGTGAGTCCCCGCTTATGGAACGCCCCTGCCTTGGGTTCCTCCAATAGGAACGCGCCGTTCCGAGCGTGCGCAGCTCTGCCTTGGGTTCCTCCAATAGGAACGCGCCGTTCCGAGCGTGCGCAGCTTTGCCTTGGGTTCCTCCAATAGGAACGCGCCGTTCCGAGCGTGCGCAGCTCTGCCTTGGGTTCCTCCAATAGGAACGCGCCGTTCCGAGCGTGCGCAGCTCTGCCTTGGGTTCCTCCAATAGGAACGCGCCGTTCTGAGCGTGCGCAGCTCTACCTTAGGTTCCTCAAATAGAAACGCGCCGTTCTGAGCGTGCGCGCCTCTGCCTTCCGTCTTCCCCTTTCCAAAGGAGATTGGCTTCGACAGTGGCCACATCGGCAAGAGCGCCTCTAGCGACACTGTCTTCAATTAGAAAGCTCACTATTCTCATGGACTTCGCGCCATGAGGAGCTCTTAACTGAAGAGCGCTGATGTCGACGAATGGCTGCGTTGTATACCGTTGCATCGGAAATTTTGCGTGTGAGGACTATTGCCAGATGTTTAGCTACCGGCGGCCATTTCGCAGATGTTTTACAAGTTGAATTTTTCCAGATATCTGATACTCCCGAAGGTTCTCAAAATCTCGAACAGACTCCTACAAAAACCACACTTAGAAGTGCTTCTCCAATGCACTTTCCATTCAGCTTGAAATAATGGTGAAAACTCAACATGATGAACATATTACAGTGTGACATCTCACCAAATGAAATCTCAGTCGCATTTTCACACGTCGAGGAACTGCACACGGCCTTCATTAAGGATCATGCGCACATGACCACAACATAGCCAACTGTTCAGCTCAATCACGATTACTTGGTGAAAAATGTATATGAGAAGGAATTCGCACAATATAAGACGACGCGAAAGATCATCACTAAACTTCGCCAAGTCATCAAGACAGTTTTCGATGTGAGATAAGTCAAGGCCAATCAAGGCACAAGCACAAGGAGCCCGACTCCAAAACGTCAGTCCTCCCAAGTGTTCAGGAAATCGAGACGACTGGCGTGAGTTTCGTCATCCTTTCAAGGCATTGGTCCTGAATAAGGATGACACTAGCGAGGCTGAAAAAATACATCACCTTCGGTATCCCCAATGTTTGATAATTCAATCATGTTTCAAACAAGCCTTCTCCAATTTAATCAAAATTAAGGGGAGAAAGTCGGCTTGGAAAACGTAATCAACGCCACCCGGGTGGCAATGAAACAGCTGAGGGCATTGCGAGTCACAGAATATCTGTGGGACTACATATCTGTATACATGACCTCTCGACGGCTCGATCGTGCCACAAGAGAATTGTGGGAGTCATCAATTAGCTCTTCCATACTCATACCCGCACTTCCATCGACCAGAAACCTTTATAACGTCTCGGATAAGGACGTTAACAGAGATGGAGTCAGTGACAGATCAACCTACAGCAGTAGTATGATCACATCTCTCAGGAAGATGATTATTCAATACATACCAGGCATCAGTGAAATATCCTCAGGTAGATCAATCATTTCTTTTCTTTGCTTGAACAAAACAAGGCAGAATACACTCAAGGCAATAATTCAAGTCCATCATCCAGATGAGATGATGGTGCAATCATCGACAGACAAGTTCATTTTAGCACATGATTTTTTGCCAACGGCAATGGCCGAAATACGGTCAAAAACTTAAACAGTACAAGTTCGTCTTCTCATTGACACAGGCTCTGAACTTTCATTCGTCATCGAGAACGTTATCGGACAACTCCACATTCCTATAAAACATTCCATCATTTACATTTATGGAATTGGAGGAGCTCAAGTGCTCCGACACAAGGAGTTGTGACACTTACTCTCCACTCGATTCACTCGGACTACACTGCCACATTACTCTCACTCACATTCGTAAGACATTAACATCAGTAATTCCTTCTATCGAACCAACTTCACACGACTGACCTCATTTGAGAGGCTTAACATTGGTCGATCCGCGGCATCTTAGATCTCGCTGAGTAGATATCATTCTTGGAGCAGACATGTATGGGCAAATCATCAAGCCCCACGTCATCACCCGTTCTCCTTCCATGCCAATGGCGTAACTATCCATTTATGGATGACTCATGCTGATCACAGGAGCAGTTACAAGTTAATAAACTATAATAAACCACATTTATCGAAGAAGCACACACTGTATTTCTACAGCCCTTCCGCTCGACTGCTTCCCAAGCATCCGCTAGGGCGGGTGGCAAATTATTCTAAAGCTATTCAAACATTGGCAGTTCGAGCCAGTTAATCAAACAGTTTCGAACAAAATCTTAATACAATTAATTTCATAATAATCAAATTAAAAATACAAAAACATTGATATATTAATCGATATCTTTTTAATAATACTAATAAAAGATTGAATGTTAAAAGAGATATAAATTATAGGTGATGTAATTACTAGTGAAGTATGTCATATTTTGCACAAACGTTATACAATTATGCTTGTATTCAGCAATTATGCAAAAGTACACAGAAATATATGCACGCAAAAGTCATATACATGGTGAAGTGTCAATCCATATACAAAAAACAGGAATACTTACGGGCGTGTGTGTGCGCGCGCGCGCGCGTTCATGTGTGTATATGCGGTTAGATGGGCTCGTGTATGCATACACATGCGCATATGTATCTAACTATGATATAGAACATTTTATTTGTTCTTCAATGGGGGGTACTCGGCTCTTAATTAATTTTTAGTACATCCTAATAGAATTCTTTATATTACGTTTAAGGCTCAATTGAAAGATAATAAATTTGTTTTTACTCCGTATAGTCGGAAATTTAATAATTAATAGCAGCTGTTCAAGCACGCAACATACATATAAAATCCAATTTTTTTTCCTGTGCAATAAACATTTAATTTAATATTTATACAAAAGAAAATCTTTTTCTATAAGAGATATTATTGAAATACTAGTAAAATTAACATTTCTAAGATCTTATTTAACCTTGAATTTAATTTATTATAGATAGTCTGATTGAACTTTTCTTATTTCTTATGTAATGAAACACAAATTCAATTAATTCATTTTTATAACAACATCCATAACTCATGGTTAATTGAATCTACTCGGAAGCGAAATTTTATAATTCATGTCTTTAAAATATTCTATATGATATTCAAAGACGTGGACTAAGTGGAATAGAAAGAATAAAATAAGTCAGAAAAATGGAAAGGGCGAAAGAGAAAAATGTAAGAATAGGTTTCCAAGGAGACTCGACCGACGTCTATTAGACGTGCGCGTTAGTGTGCCACGATGTGGGAAAGATTTGGAATGAGAAAATAGTAAAGGAGGCATCCAGGGAGATAAAATGAATGAGAGAGACGTAGAGAGAAGAAAGAATCGGAATCTCACAGTAGCGACGAAGAGTAGAAAATCAGTGAGAGCAAAAAGGACGTTTAACAAACTGCTGAACTCACAGCCCATGGGATTTTATTCTCATTCTTAATGAAGTTTTCCCAAGATAGGCAACACAATTTTCACGCAATCTTATTTCTGACGCGTCATCTATACGGCTACTTTTCTGCAATCCTTATTTAATATAAACAAGGAAATTCACTACATTATGAACGGCGATTAAGCCGACACGTTGTTTCTATTGCTTATCAAAATTTCATACAAATGTGTTTGTAAAATAATTACTAGCGTTCTATTAAATCATTAAAAGCATTGTATTTAATGAAAATATTATTAACAATCATAAATTGTTATTAAAATTGTTTATATACGAACATATATATATATATATATATATGTTTTACTCAATAAATGAAAAAAAAATTTTTGTTTGATGTATTTTATCAGATATAATAACTTTCGTTTATACCTTTCTTCATAATATTACAAACAATACGAAAAACATGATTTTAAATTTGTAAAAATATTTTTAAATAATTGAATATTACATTAGATATTATATTTATTTCAAACATTTATTGAAATAATTTATAAATTAATTTTTTTTAATTTTTATTTAAAAAATTGCTCTTTTTGATGGTATATACTTTACCAGATAAGTTGATACATCAATTTAATGTAAAAATTCTTGTAATTTAGTTTCTAGTTAATGTAAATTTCTCAAGCTATATTTTAAAATATTGATCATATTGTTTCTAATCAAATTTATATTATATATTGTATGTGTATCTGAAATTAATTTATTTTCCTAACGATCACAGAAATTTACTTACATATTTATTTCAATACATAAATACGTCAAATTTCTGCTTCGTTTAAACTGTATTTTTGATTTTCGATTTTCATGCATTAAGGGGATGTAATTTATTATTAATATAACACAAGAACACCATCAATCCATACTAGTCCATGTTATTAGATACTATTATTCAGAGTTATTGGATTTTATAAAATTTTTAAAATAAATATTTATAGTTTTCTTGCATCATTTGTTACACTTAAAATGAAAATTGTTATTTGGACGAGAAAAAAGTTAAATTATTAAGAAATCTATTAATACTTATTTAAAGATTGTATTCATTTATTAGTGGACTTGGAAACATTCATACAAATTATGGTATTTTATTAATCATTTTTAATTCTTCTACTAAAAATTATATCTTTAATTATTTCTTACTAAGTAGTTTAATTTTTAATTAAAATATATATTATTAACGTGAATTTTTCAATTATTTTAAGGACCATTTGTGATTACAATTTTAACATTTTCAGAGTATAACAACATCTAAAAAGTATATTTTATTTTACTTATTCGAATGTTGCAGTATTATTTAGAAAGTTTGTGATATATATATATATATATATATATATATATATATATATATAATAAATAAATCTGTACTTACTTTGTAAGGTCCTAGATTCTCGACAATACAAGCAAAGACAGCTTCTCGACCCACGGACACAGTAAGATTGTTCAAGGGCTTGCCAAATTTTGGTAAATCTGCAAGGAAACGAGTGTATGGATTAAGTTCTACACTGATTACGTATGTTTATGAGTGTATGCATGTATATATATATATGCCTAATCGCCTTCCCTTTGTCATATGTGCATCTATGATATACCTCAAATATTTCTTTTTACAACTTTATGAGACGTTCAGGAATATTAAATGAATAATCATAAAATACTAAATTGTTTTAATTTTGTATTGAGTATTAATTGATATATTGTGATAGAATATTTTAATGCAATGTATTCTTATAAAATTATATATATATATGCATATGTAAATAATTATAAAAGTTCAGTTGTATTAAGTTTTTACAAACATTTATAATGTATATTATTATTATTTAAAACGTACTTTGTATCGTGTTTCTATATCTTATAAATTAACGTTACTCCAAATTTAAGTAATTTATTGGTTCATTATTATTATTTTGTGAAAAAAATATGATGTTAGATTTATAATACCTTAAGATATCTTGGCTGATGTTTATCGAGGATTAATACACTAGTCGAAGGAAAATAAACCGCAAAAATTTATTTCATTTGAAATAATATGTTATTTTGTTTTCAAAATATCTCAAACAAATATCTCAATTTTATAAATTTCAAAAGCGAACGTACTATTTTATTAAAGCACAATAATAAATATTTTAAAAATAAACAATCTAATAAACGACACATATTATTGCAAGATGTTACAGCACAATGGATATTATTGTCTTACTTAAGTCTATCCATGTATGTATAGATTTTTTCAAGTGATCTTCATATCATAATTATAGCCCCCCCCCCCCCACAACTCTATAATACAATATGTCGTATTACATAACCAATAGATTATTAAATCCATTCAAATTACATTTTAAACATAGACAATAAATGATAGTTAAATTAATAGTGATATTTAATCAAAGTATATGCATTCATCTTTACGGTAATAAATATTTTTAAAAAAACGTCATAGAGAATGAATATATTAATATAAATTAATGTCGAATTATAATCTTTTATAATCTTTTCAATAAATAAAATAAAACCTTGTTGTTTAAAATTACTTTATCGGCGAAATGAAAACATCAGGTTTCCAATTTAAATTACATATTTTTTACGTGTAAATAGCACAAATTCCGATAGTTCAAAAATATTTATTTGTTTAATATTGAAGATTAAACTGAAAGTCCGTTTAGCAGACTAAAAGTTGATATTTTCAAGAAAAAACTATAAAATATCTTTTATATTACAGAAAAAATAAGAATTTTGAGAGATTCCAAAGGAATATAAATATACGTCGGTGTCAAATCCATAATGAATGATTTATAAAACTTTGGGCTCGAAGAGATTCTTCAGGAAATCCATCATTTGATAGTTAGAAACTCGCAACTATAAGCTAACAACTTAAATAAAATTATGTAAATGATATTCCCTCAATACTTGATATAACATATAAATGCCTCATTAAAGCCTCACTTGCTGAGCTTGTCGCTATCACTGTCACGCATGCCTTTAAGCATGCACGCAAAGAAATAAGAGAGACTTACCGCCAAAGCCCGCGTACCCCCGAACTTGGCAATGTAACTTATAGGTTAGTACGCTCTTACGGCCAATAGATTCACTTGAAGCGCCAATAAGCAATATTGGACGATCAATCCATTGTATACGACGCGATGGAATATTTCGCGCGCGATGCCCGCGACGAGTGGAGAAAGTCCGCGTGCGATGCACCTGTGCACCGAAAGACGCCACTTTCGAGACGTTATCTATCATCCCAACCTTACTCCCCTTTTACTCCTCATCTATCGTCTAAGCTTACGGAGGATTGACATATTCGGTTATTTTGACTGTACAGAGGAAGCTCTATAGATCTCTTCAGTCATCCACTCGCGCAACATCATCTCCCATTATTTTCATTTTTCTCCTTTTATATTCTGCCTCTCATGACGTGAACTATGAAAAATTTTTATTACACGAACCGTATTGTTTTCGTTTATCATGCTGCACGTCACTCAAGTTTCACGAAGCAAAATTTCGAAAGAGAAATATGTGGCGCCGTCTGTTTGTCTTGGCAATGGCGAGTGGCCCATTTCATTCTAGATCCGCTTTAAAATATAAGTAGCTTATGAAAAGTTTGTCTCATTAATTAGAATACAAGTTTTTTTTTTTTTTATATCTTCCCTATAACAAACATGATTTATGGATTTATTGTCATTGAATTCCTGGAGGAAGGGAAATAAATATCCTTTGAGCATCTTCGATATCGCTCTTATATGAGTAGACATTCACCGTAAAAGTTGTAAATTAAAAATAAACGAATCGCGCATTCACGTCCATATATATAATATGTATACAAATACTTTAACACGTATACACTAGATAGATAGAGGTAGATATATATATATATATATATATATATATATATATATAGAGAGAGAGAGAGAGAGAGAGAGAGAGAGAGAGAGAGAGGGAGTGTGTGTGTGTGTGTGTGTGTGTGTGTGTGTGTGATGGGAGAGGTGGTTTACATTCAAAACTATCTCAATTTTATTAAAGCTAAAAGAGAAATCAAACATTTGATTAAGTATTTGTTTCCAAGACACGAAATAATCAATGAAAAAAAAAATTAAAAAAAATAAAAAAAAAAAACTATATTATTCGTTTTAAAAAAAGCCCATAAAAGAATTTGCGACGTGAATTGTCGTCGATGCATATGACGTGACAGAACTTCGCGTGTTCATTCGCGTTGCGTGGAAGCCCTATATAACTATATAATACGTCTTTATGACAACAGCTTGAAAGAGGACCTACGTTAATTTCTGATTTCTAGGGATCCTATGCGGTTCACTGTTCTTCAAATGAAATACTTTATTTTATGTAAGAGAAAAAAAAACTTTAGTATTGCTTATAAATACGCAACATTTGTACATTTATGAAAATATAGCAGGCTTATAAAGAATAATACAATAGCCTCTCTTCGCACAATACACTCGATAATATTATGAGACGAAGTTAAACGTTCTTTTATAATTTTATATTTAATATTGTTTGTTACATTTACTTATTAATACTTTGAAACTATCGAATGTTTTCAATATAACTACTATTGATGATTTATTACATTCAAATATTGTTAAATACGGTAAAAATAATTAATATTTTGTAATTTAGAATATTATGGAAAATATATTGCTTATTATACTTAGTCCTTAGTTTATAATCATTGGATTTAAATTTCGAAAAGAATTTCTTTCATACTCGTGCGTATGTAATTACAGATACATATTCCCATAAGATAAGAGAAAATTTGATGAAACACATCATAACGCTTCATTTATATTAACATATGCAAAAATGAATATACACAATTTTCGTTAATTTACAATTAATTAGAAAGTTTCAACATCTATTGTTTGAATATCCGAATAAACCAGAGATGCTTTCCAACTCACGCATGCGCAAGTATGTATGAACACATACATATCTAATATTACTTGTTCACGGTTCATAAGCAGTATTTTCACTAATTAAGTAAATATTAATTCTTTACTTATAAGAAACGTAACGTTGAAATATTGCCAAGCAGAGCGATTAACTTTTAATTGCATTTCCAAAATCTGTAATCATACACTATTCTGATTCATGGCTAAGGAAATACTTTAATTTTTCTTGCTTTACTCCACAGCTCTTTCGCTCTTCACTCCTTTACTCTTTAAAAGCTGCACTATTAACGATAAAAAAAACTCTTCCAAGTCAATTAGATATTTCTCTATACATGTCAGTTAAGAATGATAAGAGATGCTATTTATAATTAAACGGAAATCATGAATAGGAATGACTATTTTCAGGCGTTTAACTTTACAACTTATCTATTCCATCTATATACATTATTCTAATTATGACATATAATATTATACAACTATAATATACATATAATATTACATATAATATTCTAATAAATATTATATTAAACACATAATATTATATAACTATAAATTATGATATATATGCTGATATATCATATAATTGAGTGTGTAAGAGTGTGTATAAGTATGGGCGCGCGCGCGCGCGCGTGTGTGTAAATATGTTTATGTATGCAGCAATAATTTTATCTTAAATTTTTAATTATGTGTATCATTAAACGAAATCTTACTTTACGGGTTCGACCAAAAATTAAAATAGAAGAATCTGACACCTACGCAGACGGTTCGTTTAAATTCGCTTTTCCCCTCGGAATCAAACACCGCATACTTAAGATAAGGAACGATAACGAATTATTTAAAGTCTTAAGAGAGCATACGGTCTGTTTATACATTTTCAGTACATCATCTGGGCACGAGCAAACGAAATAGTTAAACTAGCAAAGCATATCGCAAAATAAAATCTTTGCAATACTCAACAGTCACATTTCTATTCTATAATTATCAATTAATATATATTTAAAATTAATATATTTAAAATATAATATATTAATTAATTAATTAATAAAAATATCATATGTTTAATACTTTTTAAATTATTTAAGTATTATATTATATTGAATTAAAATCAAACAAGTAACTATGACAAATAACTTCTTGTAACTTGAACAGATTTACAAATATATCGACAAATTTATCCAGAAAAAATTAAATTTTACATAAACTATTGTCGAAACAAATTACAAGAGCCAAAATTTGTAAATATGTTTAATCGTAAAAAAAAGAATATAAGCAAAATTTTCTCATTTTACGGGAATGCAAATATTATTATTTTATATTCAGAATGTACGTGGCTCCAATGAAATCAATTTTCGTTCCAATATTTCCAATATGAAAATAAGTAAAATAAGTACGAATATTCTATGAAGTCTAAAACGATTTAAAGAATGGAATAAATGTTTTAACACGAAATTTTTTCTGACATTAATTTTTTAAACGCACGCTGATTATTTAGATTAAAAGTAACTTAGTTTATATACAACTACTATATATAAAATAATTCATCATCAATATCATTCTATT